TCCCCCCCCCCCCCCCCATCTGTGTATTTAGTCTTTCCCATTTTACTGTATTACTGTATTTTCTCTCTCCTAGGAAATGAAATGTACTCCACAATTCCCAAACAATCCAACAATGCCGCAAGCACAAAGAAAGCCACATTCAAGAAGATTAAGGGCACAAATCCTATGCGCTACACTGGTGGCAATCTTTTGAAGAGTAAGTATGCATTAGGATACCATAGTGGAGAGGAAATGACTGAGCAACTAGGTTTTCTGGGGAGAAATACATTTGATATTCTTTAAACATATATAAACATATATACTGTATAATGCAAGGTAATGTATCTATTGTGATATTAAAGCAGGTTGAAGCCACTGCATCAGCTTGACACCCAGGTAACTATCAGACAAAGTTGGTATAGCCGCTACCATGTATATAGCACATTACGATTACAGAGAGCAATATTGAAGAGCAATGTTCACTCAAATAAGGCACAAAAAAATATATTTTGGTCAAGTGTGTAAAAATGAATACCTTATCCCTTATCACTCAGAATATGGGGCTGACCCTGTAACAATCTAAAATGTTTCAAGATATGTAATCCTGTTGTAAATATTTTTGCCAGACTAGGACTGATACTTAAAGGAGACCTATGCGGTCAGTGTTTTTCCCCATAGATCTCCTTAGGGTAACGGGAGGACACAAACTAGCGTCCTCCCGTTACCCTAAGCTCAGTATACCGCGAGCTAGAGCTCGCGGTATACTGAGACGCCGCACCTGGAGCGGATCCCGACGTAGATGACGGGATCCGCCCAGCTGCGTCAGTGACAGCTGGCTCTGCCTACCTAGAGGCAGAGCCAGCTGTACCCGCCCCCACCCCCGTCCGTTCCGCCAGTCAGCGCTGGCAGATCGGAGCGGGGAGAGGGGAATCCAGCCCCTCCCCCTGTCACGCCAGAGAGCCGTGACAGGATCGAGAGGTGAGGGAACCCGGTATGTGTTCCCTCACCTCCCGATCTACTGAGCCGACCTGTGACAGTCTCATTGTCACAGGTCGGCTTGGAACTATGAGGTGAGTGGAAGTTCTCCTTTAAGGAATGATTTATAAATCCGCCCAGCCATACACTGGCCAAATTCTGTAAGCACGGCATTCCCGCCACCAGATGATCCTCAGCACCACCTAGTGGCAAGAATACTGTGTAAACAGCATTTGGCCAGCGTATGGCTGGACAGATTTTTTTTTAATAAATCATCCCCTTAGATTAGAATATAAATGACCTAATATTTTATAATACGGTACAGTATTACAAAATAAGCAGAAAAACACTTTTAATGGTCATGTCTACAGAAATGAATCCTGGAATGAGACAGATGAGACAAGTCCAAATCATTTGCAGTCAGACTAGGAAAAATTCGTTTTGTATTATATATTAATATGCCATGTTCCCTCTGTATTAGATCCAGTATTTGTGAAATCACTGGCAGTGGAGGCAAAACAGAAAAACGAAAGTAGGATTTTTCTCTTCTTCATGGATGATAATAGTGAACTTAGAACCACTGACAAGAGAGTGCCTATGATTGCTCAGATGTGCAAGGTGAGAGGGTCACGTTCATGACTGAAAGAAACTATGGGTGTGTAATTATTAATAATGATCTTTATAGCGCTAACATCTATTGCAGTACACAACTGAGTGGGGAAATACCAGAGTTATTACCAAAACGTCACTTCATACTTATTTTCTTCACATATGTAGCCTATGTTAGTCACAGTCATAAGTCCCTGTTCACACACATCCCATTTGCTTGTCTTGAGTGCGATAAAATGCTCAAGGCAAGGAATCCTATTCATTTCTATAGCCCCTGTTCACACCTGAGCATGTTATCGCAAGCAGAAAAATGCTTTTGTTCTTTGTTAGAAAAAGTACACAAGCTCTTTTTTTTTTTTTTAGCAAATTACAGTGCTTTTTGGTCCCATAGACTTTAATGTGAAACTTCATGTGACAAATCGCATAACAAAACACACCAAATGATCAGGGCCGGATTTACTCTCCCTGCCGCCCCAAGGCCAGGTTCCGCAATACGCCCCCGCCAAGAGAGGCTGCAGACTCTTTACATGTGATCTCGGCGACATCGCCGAGATCACATGTAAACGAACAATCAGCTTCCCTCACTCTACATTTAGTCCTGCTTGTGCAGAGGGCAACTTACCGCCCGACGCCCGGAACTTCCCCACAAGGACACCGCTGCCGCCCGAGGCCGGGCCTCAGTGGCCTTGTGGGGAATCCGGGCCTGCAAATGATTGAAGTGCATTATTCCAGGCATTTCCCTTTGAAGTCTATGGGACCAAAAAGCGCTGTATTGTGCCAAATAATAGCACATGTAGTTTTTACAGCGACAGACGATTTTCTGCTTGCGACAAAACGCTCAGGTGTGAACAGGGGGCCATAGAAATTAATGGGATTCTGTGTCTTGAGCGGTTTGTTGCGCTTAGCTTTAAGCGACAAAATGCCTAGGTGTAAACAGAGCCTTAGCGTAACAATGTCCTTAGACAATATTTTGGAAAAGACTAGAACATTTCAAAATAGGTAAGCATTCACAAGACATTTACTAAATTGGACCTGACATCAGTAGTTTCCTTATTTTCAAGCCCCTTTATCCAATTTCCATTTTGACTATACCTAACCTCTGGATCAACAGTGGGTAATTGTGGGCATAGCTTTCTGTTTAGGTTTTTTTTTTTTTTGTATCTCTATTGGTTGAACTCGATGTCTTTTTTCAACCTGACTAACTATCTAACTATGTAACGAAAATCCCCTCATTTGATGTGTCATATTTTGCCGACATCTTGCTGTTTCTTCTTCCCCATATTTACGTACATTATTTACGGTTATTGTCTTTCTTATTGTTTCCCAGGAGGAGATGGGATCCGTGAAACCAGATGAGCGCAATATGTTTAGCACTGCTTTAAAATCACGTTTAATATGTGGAGACCCAGAGGGGCAATATTATAACATATTGCAGGATATCTACTTTTTACAATCACAGGATTTGGTTTATGGGCTGTTTACAAATGCATGGTAAGATCCAAAAGCATAGCAGTCATCTGTCCAGTAAGAGAAGCTCTTAGCATCTTCTAAAGAGTCTATCATTTGTGTTATTTGTAACAGTTGGTTAGCACGGTCATCTCCTATGGTACTGTACTCACTTAACAAGGGTAGGTAAGATAGGCAGACAAAGCATAAAATGATCAGTACATATAATCGTATACTGAAAGTAAAGCATATACAACAATAACAAAATGTAGTCGAAGAGAAAGACCTACCCTTATACACTAAATAATCTGACATAACCATCTACAACAAAGGCAATCTATAGTAAAATCTTACAGTTATAACAACAACATTGTACAATTTAGAAGGACAGTACAGTCTAATCTTACAACACATTCTTTGTTTTACATCAGCACAGATTATCTGTTTATGTGATTTCCTGGGAAGTGTTGGGTGATCTACAAATAGAGGAAGTCATTTTTTGCCAACTTTTTTCAATTTTTTTGGATGACCTCTAGTTTATGCACTTGTAAGCTAGAGGAATAAGAAACGGAAAGAAAAGGCAATGCGTATGGTATTTTTAGTGCAATAGTACGTGCTTTGTCAGATAGGGGAGAAGAAATTGAAACTTAATCAGCTACTGAAGAGTATATAGTTGTATGATGAGGTGGGTTTTTAGAGGGTGAGAAGGATGTGAGAAAGGAAATGTCTGCAAAGGGGGAGAGCGAGAGGAAAGGAAAAGGTACAGCTAGATATTTAGGGTAGACACTATTTCTCCACTATTTGGCAACCAGTAGAGGAATATACACAGAGGAGTACAGAGAGGAGTAGTACTTGACCGGGCCTGCTTGCAGAGCTAGAGATGTTAGTGATTGGAAAATCAGAGTTGGAGACAGATTGTCGTGGTGGCGCTCATCTGCACATCAGCAAAAATGTCATATAGTCTGACTATGGGAACAAATGTACTGGCCGCTGAAAAGAGAGGAGAAGCAAAGAGAAATTGACAAAAAAACTAAAAGCTGCTCATTGATATCTGAGTACAATTGGTTTATGTCAACAAGATTTGACTATCTCAGGAAATATGTTGGGTCATCTGCAACCCTAAACAGCAATGCTAGAATGTTTCCATTTCTGTTTTTCAATTATATTTTGTTATCTCTGCTTATATGTTCCAATTCTTCTTAGAAATCACAGTTTTGTCTACACACATAGAGTAAGATTGACTCAAAACTAAAGTTGGCTGTAGACATCTGAGTACAGTGGGTTGTGAAAGCAAGATTTAATTATCTCAGGAAATAACTTGGGTCAGTCGCAACCTTAAAGAGGAATGCTGGGGTTGCAGGAACCTTTCAGTTTTCCCATTGTCAGTTTCATTATCTCTGTTAACATTATTCACTTCATTTTAGGAATCACAGTGCTGTCTGCTCCTATAAGATTGAGAACATTGAGTCAGTTTTCAACACTTCAGACTTGTTTGGGTCCGAAAAAAAAGATCTAGAGATTCGCCCGGGCAAGGTAATGCCTTATGACTCTTAGTTTCTCTCTTTACCTTAGAAACATAATATATTGTATTTGTTTGAAACATTTGTGTAGCTCTACCTAGCAGTTTCTGACTACTAAAAACCCATATCTTCTATAACTGTTGTAATCCATCCAGTTTTATCATCAATGAATGAATCTCAGCCCCACACAGCCACCTCCTCGTGTATCACTTCCCTCTCCCTTTTAGATTGTAAGCCCTCAGGGGCCGGGCCCTCCTTACCATCTTGTCTTGAATTGTATTGTGATTGTAATGTCTTCCTTATATTGTAAAGCGCTGCGCAAACTGTTGGCGCTATATAAATCCTGTATAATAATAATAATGATGAATACGTGTGTGTGTATGACTGTTTATATTAATGTTTTATTCTACTTTTCTGTTTCAGTGCCTCTCAGAACATACTCCGCAGGTAACAGCAGACGAAGCAGCCAACCACCCTGAACTCGTTGACTGGGTTTGGCCTTTAGGAAATCGGACTGTTTTTCAGACTTTGGAATACTACAGAAAACTGGTGGTTGATGAGATAGCAGCTAAAAATGAAATCTGGAGGGTCATTATAGTAGCTACAGGTAACCTATAATGTAATAGATCTGGTAACATAGCTCCATTTTCTACTATAAATATATAGCAGCTCAAGTCATATACATATTTCATAAACAGTATATGCACCTTGTGCCTATTAATTCTTGCATTTTGCCATCTCTTAAAACATCTTAAACTGGTGAAAAATGATCAGAAATTATACCAAAAATGTTGGTGACAATCTTTTTGTATATAAGGAATGAATCATGCATAGGTCCTAGTGAATGGAGTTGAAATCTTAAAGTATAAGGCTTGTGAGGGATGTGGCTGGTGCATATGAGTCACTTAAGTTTCTCACCTAGGGGTTCAGGATTTGTGTCTGTTATGGAGAAAAACAACTTTTTGTTTTCTTAGATTTTGAGAAGTTCTGGGTCTGGGACCTGGACTCCACATACCTATTTATATGTAAGCTTAGTCTCAAAGGGGGCTTGCTCACTCACTCTCTCTGCTTTGATAGTCAGCTGTTGAGTGAAAAAGCCAACTGCTAACAGAACACTAAAAAGATACATGCGCTGTCTGTTTTGTGAAACCCATTAGGGGGCACCCCGTTAGTCAGGAACTGATATAAATGTAGTTAGTGACTTGGTCTGGACCTGCTGTACACAGTCCTTCTGCATTGAACTGTGTTTGTTTACTGCCTTGCCGAATAAAATGAACAGGACCAATCTGTTTGGACTGTTTCTGGGTGTCCCTGTCTTGTGCATGGTTTACTGCTGTCACTACCAGTTGATCATGTCCCCCTTTCATGCTTTTGCTGGTTTGCTTTGATCTCTGATGATACAGCAGCAACAAGATGGCACTGAAATGCATTGCAGTGTGGAAAAACTGCCTGATGTACATTGAATTGTGGATCTACATGTTAGGTGAAGAAGAAATCAGCTCTCTATGTGGATTATGATATTTAGTATAACACACTTTCCTTCCTGTTTCCTCTAGACAGTGGGCGTTTGCACAAGGTGGTTGTAGATCATGTAAATAATAGTGCAACGAATGTTTTGGAAATGCAGCCCTGCAACAAAACAGTGAACATCTTGTTCTTGCAGCTGGATCAAAATAATACAGAGGTGAGTACAGTAAATAATAGAGAGCAAAAAAAAAATGAATACACCTGCAACAGGATGCCAAACATGTAGCACAAGAATTACAGGTTAATACAAAACCAATCCTTTTATGAGACAAGAAAGTTTATCTCAGGTGGCATCCTGCTTCCTGCTCCTAGGGATAGTGGAGAAGTCTACATGTCTGAACTGTTTTCCCATTGCCCATAGAACTAACATAAGGGTTTAGGGATTTGTTGGTGTGTGTATCTAAGAATGTTTAGCAATTCCTAACAGAACATTGAATACATACTTGCTCGATTTATGACGTGTACATTAGGGGGGGTCATTGTTGAGAACCTAATGGGAGCTTATATTTAATCCCTGGACCTCAACCTTGTATAGTATATCAGGCCGCCTCATAAGCTATAGTACACTGTATTTCTGTGGTTTGTCAGTTGTATGTATTTGTCTCAAATTGTAAACTGTCCAAAATATACATTTGACAAAGCATTTTGATCCTGCAAGCCCAAATGTGCTTTATTTTATAGTACAGCTGTGCTCATAAGATTACATACTCCTAGCAGAATTTGTAAAATCTTAGCCATTTTTGCTGCACCAACGCCACAAAGTAGCCAACACGCAATATTTAGAGAAGCCTCAAAACTTCTGTATCAAAATCATTTGGAGTGCTGGGACCAAAATGTTACTTTATGGTCACAACCGTAAATGCTATGTTTGGAAAGAAGTCAACAAGAGCTATGAAAAAGCACACAATCCCAACCGTAAAGCATGGAGGTGGATCTCTGTTGTTTTGGGTGCGTGAGCAGGGCTGGTGCAAAGATTTTTGCCTACACATGGTTTTTTTTTTCTGCCCCCACCCCCCCCCCCCATCATATCCATGTTACAGGCCAAACCAATTATCTCAGAAGTATTTCGAAAAAAGGAAGACCATCAGCTACTAGTGCTGTATATGCAAAGCCCCCACCAATGACACCCCAAATTGTTTACTGTGGAGCACCCCAATACAAAGACATCCCCCAAAGTGTACCACTCCAGAAAGCATAGCAGACATGTCCATGTTACAGCTCACACTAAACATATCCAGAATTTTTGGGAAAAGAATGACCATCATCTTCTGAAGCCCTATATGTAAAGCCACAGGCATTGACACCCCACATCTATTACCATGGAGCACCCCAATACAAGGACACCCCCTATAGATCTTCACTAAAGATAGCATAACTAACAGTACTGACCGCCAATGTAACGAAAGTATTCACACTGACCGCCAATGTAACGAAAGTATTCACACTGACCGCCAATGTAACGAAAGTGTTCACACTGACCGCCAATGCAACGAAAGTGTTCACAATGACCGCCAATGCAATGAAAGTGTTCACAATGACCGCCAATGTAACGAAAGTTCGCACTGACCGCCAATGTAACAAAAGTATTCACACTGACCGCCAATGTAACGAAAGTGTTCACACTGACCGCCAATGCAACGAAAGTGTTCACAATGACCGCCAATGCAATGAAAGTGTTCACAATGACCGCCAATGTAACGAAAGTTCGCACTGACCGCCAATGTAACAAAAGTATTCACACTGACCGCCAATGTAACGAAAGTGTTCACAATGACCGCCAATGTAACGAAAGGATTCACAATGACCGCCAACGTAACAAAAGTATTACCTACTTAAACTTAAGCATACTTTGTTCTTCAGTCAGTCTTTTCTTCCTTAGCAGTGGGGGGAGGGGGGGGGGCGATTTGCATATAAATTAGCTGTGATATTTACATATGAATGGGTCACTGCTTATTGATATGCAGATTACCGCAGCCCATTCATATGCTAATATTTCAGCCAGGGCAGTGCAGGAACAGGAACAGCAGCACCAGCAGGCTCCAGCGAGAGAGCAGACAGAGCTGTGGGCGGGGCTCTGACTATAGGAAACTGAAGCTCAGAGCCCCATCCTTGTCGCTGCTCCTGTGTGTGGGAGGGAGGAGCTGTTTTTCCGCCCTCCCCCACATGCGCCCTCAAGCGTCCGCTTGTGTTGTCTGTCTGGTAGCGCCGGCCCTGTGCATGAGCTATAGCAGCACAAGGAAGTCAAAACTGATGGCAAGATTAATGTGGCATATTATCAGAAAATACTTGGGAGAAATTTAGATTTATCAGCCTAGAAGGTGGTGCACATTTACGCTTTCTTACTTTACAGTTATACAAAAACTAAGGCCAAAGCGACCTTTTAGTGGCTTCAGCAGAAAAAAAGTGAAGGTTCCCCTGACCTCAACATCACTGAGAGACTTTGGGGAGATCTCAGATATGCAGTTCAATGTAGACAACCAAAGAATTGACAGGACCTGGTGGCTTTTACAACTATCACACAAGACTGCAAGTCCCCATTAATGCTAAAGGCAGGGGCGTATCTGCCGCGAGGCAAACAAGGCGTTTGCCTGGAGCGGCAGATTCGCTGAGGGCGGCGTTGCTGCCTTGCCTAGGACAAAGCTGCACATCCCCCCCCACTGGAGCATTTGATTATTTCTAGTATTGCTATGGTTAGTTTCAGGATTGTGCAAACCGTGATGTCTAATTGTTTAATTTGAATCACATCTTATTCTATACTAGTACTTAAAAAAAAAAAAGAATACAGGGAGTTAATATAATAGGACCTTTAGTTTTCCCCCTTAGTTTCAGCTTGTATTTCAAAATAGTTGGAGGGTAAAGATAAATAGGGGTTGCGTGTCAAGTAAAATGTTTTACCTTGAAAGCAAAATAAATAAACATGAAATAAAGAATGAATTGGGTGTTGAACTTCTAGAAAATGGCTGCCAGGCCAGTCTGCGACATTCTTTATTAGCTGTACCTGCTGCTTGAGATGGCTGATAGAGTCACTGTGCTGTAACGCTTCCGGGCTGGGTTAGTATGGATCACGGCTACAGACAAGTATTACCTCACAGTTCCCCTTTATTTAAGGAACATGGGGGGAGGGGGTGTCACATAAGCATACACAATCAGTAATACAGTAATGACACAGGTAATAGGAGCAAAAGGATATATCCGTATATACGTTGCAGAAGATACCTCAGAGCCAGATGACGGTGCAGGAGTGAGTCGGTTCCCTGCGGTGAAATCGGACCGAAGGACAGGTGAGTATATCACATGTGCATAGTTGCAATTGTAAAGGAGAGGAAGAGAGAGTATTCTACAGTTCTTTATAGAGGATGAAGTTACATCACTAGGCAGAGTACATAGTGTAGAATAAGCAGCATGAGAAACAGATACTGCTTAGTAGACATGTGCGATTCGTTTTGTTCCGAATCGAAATTTGGACGAAATTTGGTAAATTCGGAGATTCGGATGTATCCGAATTACAGGTAGAACGAATGCAAACGAATCGGAATTTCCGATTCGTTTTTTTTTTTTGGACGAACTTTCGTTTTTTGGACGAAATTTCGTTCCAGCAAAGTGACATTTGAGAACAAAAAAACTTTTTTTCCCTCTTAAATGTCTCTTTGCTGCAACGAACGAACAAAACGAAAACGAAACAAATTTTCGTACGGATTTCCGCCAACAAATTTCGTCCAAATTTGAATTGACTTTCGGACCCGAATTCCAAAAAACGAAATAAAGCAAAATCCGAATCAAAACGAAACGAAACTAAACACATTTTAGGTTATGAGTAGACCTTGTCTATCTCGGTTTAATTACAGGGGTGCACACTGTGTTTGTGTCCCCAAACCTCATAATAATAAACTGCCAGTAGTGTTTTGATGTTGCAATAGATAAGTCTGTAACATTTGGGAAATGGAAATGCTGTAATGCTGCTGCCAACCATAAACTCATATACCATGACCATAAACCATATACATACACAGGCTCAGGGGTGTCCCTAGCATTTTCACCGCCTGAGGCTGCCGGGTGTTGGTGCATGCTACCTTGATGGGGAAGGGGGAGGGAGTTGGATGGGGCCTCTGCGTCATTCCCACTCATTTCCCCCCAGCCAGAGCATCCTGCTGAGCTCCTGGCAACCATTGACATCTGTGATTGCAAGGAGCTGCGCGGAACGCGGGCCAGAGCATCCAAGCTTGCTAAGAAATGAGCGGGGAGATGCGTCTGGCCCTTATGCATCTCCCAGTCCGGTCCCTAGCAACCTGGGATGCTCTGGCCAGAAAGGGGGCAGCAGGAACACTGCAAGCATTGTGCAACAGAGAGGCCTGCCACACCCCCATGTGACCCAAAGAGATGCCGCTGGAGGCAACATAATCATTATAGGGACGGCCCTCATTGTAACAGCAGCACATCCACTGAGTACTTCTGTATTCATTCCATCCAATGATTTGTCACTCTTTTGCTAGTTAAAACTAAAAAATGTCTGATCACTCGTGTTTTCTTAAACAATGCTCTACATAAATCCTGCTAGGGGTATGTACATTTATGTGCACAACTGTATATGTAATACAGTAATCACATACAGTAGCCCATAGAGGCCAATTATACCAGTTTAAAAGTCAACTACAGATAAAAGTGATATTCTGTTTTGTTCCATTACTGCCTATACAAGTCTCATGCTGCCTTATTATATTGCCCTAGGACTCTAGGGTCAACTTAACCCCCATTCTAATGTCTAGTTCTGCTGGCATTCCATAGCCTCTATAAAGTCATATTTCTCATTTTACATAATGTGGAAGAAATAGCCGGAGAACCTAGTAGAGAGACAGCAAGACTTTTATAATGACTAAATTCTGTTTGCAAGCTGCTTATAAATAGGCCATGATGGCATCTAAGGAACAATACGTTTGTAGAATAATAAAATGTTGAACTTTACCTTGTTCTGTTTAGCTTTCGGACTGAATGAAATAAAAAATCTAGCTGTGGCTATTATATTTTGACAGTCGGCCCTGTCAGCTGTCAAAATATATGAACTATGCCCTCATCTGATTGGAAACAGGTACTGTTCTCCCCACAATTTTCTGCCCTAGTCCTTCAGTTTTTCTGTTGAATGATGTTGAACAAGAGTCGGCAGACAGGGCCACCTACTGAGCGAATTTTGGCTGCTTCATGAAGAACCGACCGAAATTGGCTCAGTGTATATCCAGCTTTAGTTTAGAGCCACAGTATAACTTAATATGACAGTTTTTATTGCTGGTACAAATTTCCTTTATCCTCTCTGCAGAGGAAGGAGGTTACCTGTACTAAGAATATTTAGACATCAAATGTACCTGTAGTTTAACTATGGCATGTAAACAGTTGTGTTTGGCCCAACCTGTAATTGGGCTTTAATCTTTCCTTGTTACTAATAACTTTATTTGTTTTTATTCTTACTGCTATACTTTAATACTCACAAAATGACACATTCAGCTTTGTCTTATATGCATTTCAGTTATTCAATTGTCTTCCAATACCATGTGATTCATCTATACTTCTTCTTCCTGTTGACATTATACACATTACACCATGAAACCCGATAATCCCCCTCGATTCCCACATTTTTGATTACCATTGTTCACATTGTATTACTCATGCACATAGTAATAGCAGAATGGTAATAGAGGAAACTTGTGGGATGTGACACAGATAAAGTTACAAGTTCATTGTACAGTAAATATCATTTGTTTAATTTGCTGATGGTTTTATGTGTGTGGTTTTTAATTTTTTTTTTTTTGCTAGCATACCTTGTATGTGGGAACTGCTAACGCAATTTACAGAATTTTCCTGGATGACTGCAGAGCTTATAACAACAGCTGTACTGACTGTAGGTCATCAGAAGACCCATATTGTGCCTGGTATGGGGGAGAATGCCAGTCTATTCTGAAAAGGTATGTGTCATATCCTGTATATTGTCGCCTACACCTTTGACATTTAAAGGAGAACTATGAGGTGAGTGCTTTTCACTCACCTCATAGTTCTAGCCGACCTGTGACAATGAGACTGTCACAGGTCGGCTCAGTAGATCGGGAAGTGAGCGAACACATACCGGCCTTCGCTCACTTCTTGATCCTGTCACGGCTCTCTGCCGTGACAGGGGAGGGGCTGGATTCCCCTCGCTCCGATCCTCCAGCGCTGACTGGCGGAACAGACGGGGGAGGGGGCGGGTACAGCTTGCTCTGACTCTAGATAGGCAGAGCCAGCTGTCACTCACGCAGCTGGGCGAATCCAGACATAATTTTCGGGATCAGTTTCAGCTGCGGCGTCTCAGGATACCGCAAGCTGTAGCTCGCGGTATACTGGGCTTAGGGTGACTGGAGGACGCTAGTTTGTGTCCTCCCGTTACCCTAAGGAGATCTATGGGGAAAAGCCCTAACCCCATAGTTCTCCTTTAACTGTTGTCTTTCTGATTTAGGCTAGCACACACATTACAACAGCACAGTTAAATGAAACCTCTTTCTATAGAGATACTCTTTCATGTACCACTGTCTTAGCCTATGAACTGTTAAAAGCTACATTGCTGGCATCCAACAGAATGCTTTACTATAAACAACAGGAACTAACAATTGGCTATTTTTGTCACATCCGTAAAAAGCAGCTGATCTTGCTTCCGTTTTTCAGTTCTAAGTTCAATAAAGGGTATGGATTTGTTTAACCTTTTTCTGCTGTATTGTAATACAAAATAAATGCTAGATGATGTGCCAACGTTTGGATATGAAGCATTAATATATTATATACAACAAGTAGCTCCATAATTGAAATATATGTATATTATAGACTTCTGTAAATCTTGTGTGTCAGCCAAGGGGTAGTCATGGCCTCTCCTAACACATGGAGTCTAAGGAGTTGTCCATCTTTGACTGCCACCTCCAAAAGGCCAATTCATATACATTATTTTCCAAGGAGAGACTTCCAGGTCATGGCCTTTTGTTTTGCCCCACTCATGGCATATGGCACATAGAGAACCACATTATCAGGCAAGAGTATAGTCTGTAACCTGGAAGAGGTCAATGCAGGTGATTTTATTTGGAGTTTAATGGTAGCCATGGGTCATGGCAGATGACATGATACAATCACAGGCAAATGGCTGAATGGTGGACAAGCAGAAAACAGGCTAGGGCCATAACCAAAGAAGTGGTCAGTATGCAATGTTTACTCACCCTACAGAGGCCACCAAGAGTATTTTGCTGAAGCACCAGCGTTGCTTGCCACTTGGTGATCCCAAAGGCATGGTAGAATGTTCCTGCACTGCAGTTCCCTGTTTAGGCAACTAACCGTAGATTCCACTTTGCACATACAAACTGATCTTCTCATTGCGTTGCTAAATACATTTGATAGGTTTGTGCTATATTTTATTCTTCAGAAATTGTTTTTACTCTCTCATTGCTTTTAGTAGATGGAAGGAACTTATATTTCCTGTTTTCATTTTTTTTTTAAAGGGATAAGGTGTTGCAGAATCCAAACCAGGGAGCCATGTGTGAAATGCGTAAGTACTACTTTATATACAGGGTAATATTCAAAAGTGTGAATGTTTGAGGGCCCATTGGATCATGTGAACCAGGGTCAGCACCATGTTAACACATATGTTAACACATACGTGGAAACAGAGCAAAGGGCATTCACTAGCCATGTAAAACAATATTTAGACTGTGCAGGCTAAACAATTTGCACGTTTGAAGGGTATCTGGCACATTAAAGCAGGAACATGTTACATTTTTCTGTTGTCATGTGTGCATTTTTTAATGCATGCAGCAGTAAATGGTGTAACGACCATGTTTTATTTTCAATGTTTAAAGTAGTATTAAGCTCTGGGCGTTTTTTTACCTTAATGCATTCTCTGCATTAGGGTAAAAATGACCCAGCACCTTTTTTCTACCCAAGTCCCCCCCACCCAGTCTCCACAACACTTACCTGTCGGCTGCGCTCGTAACCCCAACCGGTCCAGAAGCAATCCTCTGTTCCCCCAAACTTTCGGGTTGCGGCGGAGGATACTGATGGCAGAGGAGCCACAGGCTCCTTCTGCCATCAATCAAAGAGGGAAGGGGCGTGGCCAGCCACAGGGCTGTGTGTGTCTATGGACGCACACAGCCACTGTGGGCACGAGCACGCAACGGGTGCCTCCATTAGAACGATGGTGGCACCCGTGCAGGGGGCGGGAGAGGGGAGGGGGTTGGGTGAAGAGCATGGCGGGGACCCACTAGAAAACGAGGAATGAAGAACTTTTAATGAAAAAAAAACAGCCTCCAGCAAAGGAGGGTCTCCTTAAAGGAGAAATGTAAAAATAATTTGGCTTTTAACATCACTTTAATTAAAGTGTTTTTTTCTTTTCTCAGTAAACAGGTAAGAGTTTAGTGACCTGCTATTAACATATCAGGAGCATTTGCAGCACTTCTGCTATGGGGATACCAGCCCTCTTGCAGTGTGGTTTTCTTTTCTTAATGTAGCCTTGGGCATGGGATCCATCGCCCCTTTCATTTTCTCAGCTCCCTGCCAGAGTCAGGCATACTACCAATTAGGAGGGCCATGGGCAAACTTCAATATGTCAATATTTTCAGTGATTTTAATGCTGTGGATACAGATAAAAAAGGGTTCTTAGCGTTCACAACCCCCACTAACAATGACTAATGTTTTTAGCTATTTCATTGTCTGTTTAAATCTAACTACAATGTTTCTTTTTTACCTAGCGTCCGAACAAATGGCTCGAGTAGGACATCGACACACCTCCTCAAAAGAAAATAATGTGCTACCCCCATCTGTCTTTCTTTTAACATGCCCAGCAGAGTCAAAGCAAGCCACATACTGGTGGACATATGGAGACAACCAAACTGAAAGTTGCACCCCACACAATGGCAAATGCAACTTGTTTTTTGATCAAATCAAATTCCCTGGAGAATACAAGTGTATGGAAAGAGAATCCTCAACAGAACGTTTGGTATCTGAGTATAGATTTACAGTGGGAAATAGCTCCTCAAGGATGAAATATGGCTGGCTAGAGGCACTGGCAATTCCAGTGGGTATCATACTGTATATTCATTTAACACTCTTTGCAAACAGCTGAGATTCCCCAGCCTAGGGTACCACAGATTTATGGCATTGAACTCCTAGGGTTGAAATATAATAGTGGAAATAACTGTGATCAAAAATGAACATGGAATGGTCTAAAATTGATGGCAATGACACATATGAACAATATCTGACTACTACTGGCTGATCTTTTTAGCAGATTAGCACATAGACATACACACTCATATCCTGTGTGCTTGTTTATTTGCACCTTGTCCACCTCAAGATCTATTCATATCTCAAAGATCTAACCAGGCCAGCAGACTTTTCTTCTGGGATCTTGTGGCTGAAGGGCAGAGGTGGGGTCTGGTCTAAATATACCCCAGAGAACACTTAATAATTTTAATGTGAATGAGTCCTATACATTTCCAGACATAAGGAACTATTTAAATTCATGATTTGATCTTATTCAGTAAATGTTTGTCACTGAGACAATGTAGCAAAAACACATTACTTACAAACATGAGTGATTGTTTCAGGTATTTAGCAGTCTTTAATGTGACACTAAACTCTAGGAGTTAAATACTAAAAATGCATTCAATTATCCTATCAACAAAAATGTATCTCAATTGTGTATCACTCGGCTATAGATTCTGAAATCATCTCTGAATTGGTGCTGACACTGTCCTTCCTTCTGGAGGGTGACTACTTTTGTTCCCAATGGTCCCTGTGTGTGTTGTAAAGTAGCCACCACTCCAAGCTCAGTCCAAAGATGGACAACAATCTCACGTTTAGTTTACTAATTTGTATTGAGATTGTAGTCAATCACAGGAGCAAGCTTGGAGTGGTGACTACTTTATAACATACACAGGGACCATGGGGAATAAAAGTAGCCAACCTCCAGAAGGAAGGACAGTGTCAGCACCAATTCAGAGATGATTTGAGGATCTACAGCCAAGTGATACACAAATAAGCTACATTTTTGTTAATAGTTAAAGTCTCTGAATGCATTTTTAAGATTTAACACGTGACTTTACTGTCACTTTAAGTGTAGTTTAATTCCACAGTGGGGTAATGAAGGAGTCGTAATGAAAGGATATTTGCAGCTGTTATCTGTAATATGATTTATGCATCCATGAATGTATTCCTTGTGTGGGCAAACTAACAACAGATTTTTCACAGTTCTAGCTCAGATGGAACACAGGAATACATGAACTTTCTTCCTCTTACAAAGTTTTCTTTGTCCCCAGTAGGGACATCAAGTAGTCCATAGTGCTCTGTAGTTTGCCTACATAGAAGACAAAGGGGAATTGATCAAATTATTTTCTTTTTTAAACTGTAAAGTGCTCTTTAAAGGAAAGGCTATCTCAGAATTGAGGAATATTTAACAGTAAACATGTAGTCTGACAAAGAAGTAAAGTTAGCTGTCCCTGAATAGTAGCAACCAGATTATAGCTTTTTCTACACTTGTTCACTGTGCTACCAGAGCCTGCAGTAGTTCTTATGACAATATTAAAAAGGAAACAGAAATAGACAGTTCACCTGAAAATTATGACATGTATAGTCCTAAGAGCATAGAACTTGATCAGAACATAAACAAGTATAAAATCCAATCTACAAATGTTTGAAATGTGTTGGTCTTTATATTTTTGTAGTTTTGCCCCCTGGCAAACAAAGAAGTTTATAGCATTTAGATTTAGCCCTGAAGCAGATACCAAGGTTTTGTATTTGAGTTAAGGAGACCATGTTGCATAACCATTTGTTTCAACAAAAACCTTCTCATAAGATATAATGTGAATTTAATGTATTTTTGCATTTTTTTAGCCATAAAAGCCTCCCTTGAGTAGACATCCAAACGCGTTGAGACTGCTGCTGGGCACCACCATCT